AACTTTTATAATCCAACTTTCATGATTCGCTACATTTACATGCTATAAACATACTTCAACATACTAAACCGTAAAACAAGTCCAATGATCACTACCCTAAGCTTAATCATGCAATTTTACTCTTTTCGACATTATATCGAACAATTGGCGTACCGTTAAACATATACACCAAATCTAACCATAATGAAACCATAATATACCCTTTTAATTTCTACATCAATTTTATCAATCCTAGCATTTTTAACATGAAATATATCATACTTATAACAATATCAATCCGTAAACTTAGACATAACATCATTTATAAACCGGTCTAAAAAAATGCTAACGTAAACACCCTAATAAAAGTGAATGAAATTTATACCTTTATGAAGGATTTGAAGAGTGGATTCCGAATATATAATCGTTACTTCGATTGCTTCAACGATTTGAGAAATATTTTAGAGAGAAGAAAAAAATGAGAGAGAGAGAGGAGAGAGGAGAAGGCGGTCAAGAGAAAGCGACGATGGTTTGTTGTTTTTTTTTCATATCTTATATATATATATAATATATTATAATTATTAAGAGTTTAGGAGTTTGGCGGTGTTAACCCCTCAATAATTACCGACCCTTATTTAAGTACGGTACAATTTCGGTAAGTTAACAAGAATGTGATTTTAAAATTCGGGTCTTACATTAAATGAAAGAATGCATCAAATCATGAGTGAAATAAAAAATTAATTTACATGAAACAAGTTTAATGAAGGTGAAACTAGGTCACGTTGTAATTGATTCATGAAGGTGAAATCATTTCATGGTGAACCATGTTTCAGTGATGGTATAGTTGATCCGTTAGTAGAAAAAATGGAACATGAAACTGGTGCATAATTTATTTGGTTCGTCATGAAATAATTGCATGATGAAACGGGTACATGATGAATCTGCTTCGGGATCTTGAAGATTGTAATCTGCTCCAGAATCTTGAAGATTGTAAGGAGTAAATGAAAGAATGCATCAAATCATGAGTGAAATAAAAAAAATTAATTTACATGAAACAGGTTTCATGAAGGTGAAACTGGTTCATGGCGTAATTGAACAATGAGTGGTGAACTGTTTTCATGGTGAAACTCGTTTCAGTGATGGCGTAAGTGATTCATTCAGTAGATGAAATGAAAAATGAAACTGGTGCATAATGTAGACAGTTTGTCATTAAATAATTGCAAGATGAAAAATAAATTAGTTTCATTAATAATAATAAATGTTAATGTAAAAATAATAAATTACTTTATAAAAAATAGATTAGTTTCATTAATAATATGATATACATGATATGGTTTTCTTGAATAAATGAATATTTGGTTTTACCCTTTTGCCCTTATCGGTATTATAAAATGTATTTTCAATTTTTTTATTTTAATTTTCCTTAAATAATCTTGATTAATCTTAACCATTGATCAAGAAAATGGATGGGTAAGATTGGTTTACACGGTTTACACAAATAGAGGCGGTTTTTATTTGATCGCTCATATATATATATATATATATA